AGTTTTCCTTTTATGACCATTTCAAAGTGGAACTTTAATAATAACCACCATGTAAAATAAGCTTTAAAAGTCTGACAGTTTGGTTCAAGTCCCAACTTTAAAAAATATATATATAAATATAAATTTTTATATTAATTCTCTTAGAAAACATGTTTTAAGACGCTAATTTTTTCTCTCGCATTATAGATTGTATAAAAAAACATGATCTTTAATATGATTTAGATTGTTTCAGCCGATATAAGAATCGGGTCACTCTGTGGTACAGAATAAACCCTGCTGGACTGTTTTATTTCTTTGTCATTTAGCAAAAATCTTTTAATTAAATTATTTATCCTTTGGACTTCGCTTTAAACTTTATTTATAGCTAAAATGACTAAAAAATGAAAAGCTGTCTTTAGCTGAAACGCAATTCATATAATTGATATTTTAAAAAATTGACAAGAATGCAAAATGTATGGAAGTCTAGCAGTTGAAAAATCTTAATTTTCTTGTGTGAGCACTGAAAATAACTGTAGAAGGAAAGAAGAAAATTAGGGAGAAAAGTAAGCAAAAATTTGCAGGGAAATTTGCCTGTCAGACGTACCAAGATGTTCAAAAAGTTGGACGCTTTCGAATATACTTTCAGGATACTTCAAAGAATTTAGGTGTTCAAAGAGAAAACACTTGGTCGAGTACACCAGCAAATACCATCAATTGAGCTTGTGTTAACAGAAAAGACAAAACGATATCATTGCAGATTAAAGTGAAGAGCGACTGGTTTTAAACTATATGGTTGTGTAAATTACGTTATAGAACATCATATCGTATCATAAATGGTGAATCCCATGATTTCCTCAGTCGAATTATTTGAAGATTCAGGAGTTTATCCAGTGATGTATGTGGATGTCACTTAAAGATGTTTTTTCCCTTCCTGATGAACTAGCGGCCGAGCGGTAAAGTCGCTGGTAGTAGAACACTGGTAGTTTGGTCCGAGGTTCGAATCCCGCGAACGGGCTGGCTGCATGGGCGTTTTCGTGGTTTTCCCCATGTGTAACGTGTATGCGAGCCAGTTTCCCTTAGAAAGTCCTCCAGGAAGGCATCCCTCCCCTTAGGCAGATAGCCGTAGTGTGCTTTGTCATAATAAAATAAACCAAAACCTTTTGATGAAACCAGTCTTTCCTTTCATCTCATAGCTTCAAAATGTTTAGCCTCTAAAGACTGATAAAGGCTGTGACGAAAGCAGGGCTACTTAAAAGGCGTGAAGAACTTTCTAAGGGAAACCAGCTGTCATACGCGGTACACATGAGAAAATCCACAAAAACGCCCATGCAACCAGCCCGTTTACCGGGGTTCGAACTCCGGAGTGAACTACCAGTGTTCAGCAACTTTACCGCTTGGCCGTTTGTGGGCCTTTATGAAATGGAAGGCGATAACTTTATTTAAAATGATTGTCAGAAATACCAAAATGTTTCGAAAAGTTGGATACTTTTCAATATACTTTCGGAATGCTTAAAGAAAAAGAGAAGAAAAATAAGTTTTTTTGTAAAATTTAGTATTTGTATTTTTTTAAATTTAAAACTTTTCAATCTTATGATATTTGATTCTTGCGATTTCAAAAATAAAATATTTGACTAAAATATGAATAACATTTTAAGAAACCAAATGTAGGATAAAATTGTGTAAAGCAATGGGCACAATGATAAAACTGTTTAAAGCAGTGTATGCAAGTCATCCTAAGTTAAAATATCAGTTATACATCTCTCTTATTTATATATATTTTTTCTGAACGGAACATTGAAAGGCGTGTAAAACTGTGCTTTACTGTATTTTCTCTTTTAATATATTATGCAGTTTTCAAACGCATCGTAGTCTGGGTTACAAAGTATTCTTCCGAAAAAAAAAGAACAGTTCAAATAAATAAAATCAAATTCTGGAAAATTGATATTAATAAATATATTTAAAAATGCTCAGTTCGAAGGAATAAATAGAAAATTTTAAAATAATTATCTGAAGAGACAATGCAACACAAACAATTAAAATAAAAGTATAAAAATTTAAAAATGACCTAAAATAATAGCTATGACGAAAACTATATATAAAAGAAAACTATTTGAAAAAAAATAAATAAATAATAAACGCTGCACCTTTATTTACGCAGTTCGAATAGGTAAACAGAAATTTTTAAAACAGTTATTCGGGAAAAAAAAAAAAAAAAAAAAAAAAAACGTGCAACTTAAACAATTAAAATGAAATTCAAAAAGAAAAAATTACTTAAAAGAATAAGTTATAATGAAAAATATAATATAAAGAATATTATTTGGAAAAAAGGAACGATGGTGACTTTTTTTCCTAAGGAAACTAGGTTGCCATATATTAAGAAGTTCGCCAAGTGAAGTATTCTTGGCGCAAACTGACAAAAAAGTGCCAACATAAATTTGTGAATTTCTCCGTAAATTTCGCTCCAAAATTTCATATTTAGGCGTAATTTGAGTCGTAGAATCCAAATATGTAAAAATATTGGTATGTTAGTTCAGAAAAAGTCCGATTTTGTGTCAAAATACCTATGTTAGAATAGTGCTATATATATATATATAAATCTAATATATATCCTAAGTCGCGCTTTCGAGACATGAAGAACGCAATTTGAATTTTGTCAATCGGCCCAGTAGATCGGGAGATATAGGACTGTCCCATTTTTTTTTTTTTTGAGCAGTGTACATAACAAATAAGGTATGCATCTTTATTACTGACAGTAGCCTCATCAAAATGTAGACCAAATTCCTTGCCTTTCATTTTCTCTATTAATTGGCGAGATCCTCGGCTATATGATGGATTCTTTGACTAACAGCATTGTTAGATAAAGATACCTTTGTAACTAGTTTTCCTGCCGATTCTCCCCCCATAATATTAACCATATCGAGAGCAGCCAATAAAATATGTTCTTCTGCGACGGTGTAAGGTTTCTTTGTACTTCGCCACCCTGTATGCCACCTTGAAAGATGCTAGCAGTGTGTTGCTAGGTGCTAAAGCTTTGAACACTTTTTTTTTTTTTTTTTAAATTTTGCAACTTCCTACTAAAAAAATTTGATTTTTTTGACTGTGGTAGGGTGAATGGTTTCCAGATGTTGTTTTAGCTTACTTAGAAGTATCTCTTGAGCAATAGAATTTTCAAACAGAGCTTACATGGTGGTCTTTCTTCATTATTTACCTCTACTGACACAAAGACAAAATTCAAATAGCTATCATCATATTTGCGATATTTTCACCTTTTTGGTCCCTAGCCACTTGTTGAGGCTTGATCACTCCGACTTAAACTATCGACTTTATTTAATACAAATCTTTCCATTTTGTGACTGACTTTTTACGAACATACAAAACAGCACAATTAAAACAAAGCATCTGAACTGCTCAAATACGAATGTTTAAATAAATATTATAATGCTTATCTGTCCTGGGTTTGTAAATCACGACCCTCTATATCGCTAACAAGAACACTTAATTTACTTCTATTTAACTAAACAATTTAACTGCTTGCGCTTATAATAAACTAACTTGGCAATACGGCCTATGGCGGCTTATGTACTACCACCAATGAGCGCTCGCGACAGTTGAATGTGGGCTTCTGGAAATCTCTTGCATCAGCTAGCAGAGAATTCAGCATTGCCAAACACAACCCAAATTTAGTACGCAGCAGGAGAGCAGTGTTGTTGGTTTTTTACACAAACAGCGATTTATGCAGAACATATGATTTGAATTTAAATTCCGCAAAGAATAAACAGGAGTGCTTTGCGGCATCTTGGCACACACTTTGGGAATCCCTGACCTACTCCTCTGGCATAAGGGCACACATAAGCATGAAAGATGTTATCTTTATAGGCCTGAGCATTCATGGTTCTATGTGGAAACACAGGAGGTCTGTGCGTCTACTCAAAGATATACCACCCCAAACACAAACACTGCCTCCTCCACATGCATCTCTTTCACAGATGTTTCATGGATGATAACGAGTTCCAGTTTCTTTCCAAATCAAATAATGCACGTACTATTGCTTTGGAGGGTGAACCTGGACTCATAAACAAAGACAGCTCTTCAGAGGATATGTTTACTTGCCCACCTCAAACATTCTCTTCTATGACATGATGAAAGCGACACACAAATGGCTAGGCGCCTCGCGCACAGACCTCCTTTGTGAAGCCTTCTGTGCATGGTTGACACTGACACCAACTTTCCACTAGCTGCAGCAAGGAAGGATCTGAGTCAAGATTCTATTCTTTCATGCACATAACAACAAATATCAGTCATCAGCGCTTGGTGTAGTGATTGGCTGTCCTTGGCTGAACCTCCTGGATACCAAATCTGTGGTAGAAATTGTTGCCAAAGTATAGTATATGAACTGCAGAAAGACTCACCATTTAGCCATATGGCCACTTCTGCCTGACTTTGTCCTGCCTCTAATCTCACAGCAGTTCTCCATCACAGTTCTTCAAGCAAATGATGTCTAGAGGTTATTGTTACAAGTTGGCCATCCCAGATTTCTTATCTCAATCACAGCAAAACTTGCAGGCTTGCTTCTAAAGCATGCAATTTTATGCTCCTTGTAGATGATGTATTTCAATTGCAGTGCCACTAATTTGCAACTGCAGTTTTACTCAGTAATTCTTATTCGACAACATATTCAAATTTTATATGGATTGCTTATTTTTTAACACATTTTTGCTATTTTTGTGATTTTCCCTCAATTTTTGAAAACCAGTATATATGTGTGTGTGTGTGTGTATGTATATATACATGTATCACACACACATATGCAATGAAGCATTATGCAACATCATATGTGATATATGAAATGGAGCAAATTTGTGACTTTTTGAAAATTCATGATCAGTATTATATTTTCCAAAGCATTTCTATGAATCTCTATTTTGCAGTCCTAGACTAATAATTATTAATTGATGGTTTTAAATTTAAACAGAAGCAATAAATTATTAAATTGTTAAAAGTAACAAAGCTATAAATTTTACCAATAAGCTGGATACAAATGATTTTGATTCTGCAGGTCTTTGCAACCAAATAAAAGCATATGGTGTGCTGTTCTGGCACTGACATCAGGATCATATTTAACTGCAAAAACAGACAACAAACACATCTATACATTGCTATCTAAAATTAAGGTTAATCACAATACCCGTTATCTAAAAAAATAATTAACTAATATGTCATGGGTCAAAAAACAATTAACTACTATGCAATATGTAATTAACTGTAATGAAATTTTGTATACAGGCATCCAATATAAGAGATAGCTCATGGTAACAATAGTAATATAAAAAATAAACAATGAGTAAATGTTTTGTGATATGCAAATGAAATTAAAAACACCCAAAATGTGGCATATCATATTTCCAGAATAGTCTGGGGTAATAAGGAATGTGACCATTTCACTCAGTTTTGTATGCCTCACGATGAGCCCTCATACTGTAAATGAGGTTGATTATAGCTCGTAGTAACAAATTTCATTTTTTCAAAAGTGATAATTTGAATGTTTAGAGAGTCTTGGCTGGCTGATGACATGTCTTCCCAGAGCAACCCAAACATGTTGTATACGATTTTGGGCCAGCAGCTTCATTGGCCTAGCATATGATGAATACCTTCTTTCTCCAAAAAAAATGGCTGACCAGTTGAGCTCTGTGTGGGCTTTCATTATTACCCATTAAGTTCTCTTTAACAGATTTCAATAAGGGAAAAAAATGTCCCTGAATAATTCTGTGTGGTTACAGTGCCCAAATCGAAAATATACAGTTCTGTGCAGCTGCACAGCATGATGCCTCCCCACACGAGGATTTCTTTTTCACCAAGTAGGCAATTTTCCTAACGTTGGAGGTTCGATAGTACGCCTCAAGATCTCTCCAGATGAAGACACATTGAGAATCACTCTGGGTTCTGAATCTTCACTGCTTATTGAGAGGCCATGGCCCTCATCTTTCATCCAAGAATAGTGTGATAAGCTATACAAAGATGGGCTCTCTTCTGTGATATGTTTGAGAGTACATACCACTAATTGTTGCACAAACCTGCCTACTCTACTTGGCATCCGCACATAATCTGCCTGGATATTGTCATTTCCGATACAGCAGTGAAGTGCAGAGGGCTCTTTAGTCATCTCTCTATGGCCGTGCATCAATCCTTTGCACATGTCCTGAATGACCTTGGCTGAGCTTCTTGGTGAAGGCATCAATAGATCTGAACCGGTGCTATAATCAGGATATTAACATTTGAGACAGTTTTAACAACTGAGCAACTCACATTTGACTCTTCCTTTCTATCTATCATCTAAACCAGTATTGGGAGGTCAGGAAAATTTATTATGAGGTCGCAAGGTTGAAAAAGATTTGAAATGATAGTACATAATTAAGGATCCATGCTCTGATTGAGGGTCACAAAACTGTTTTTCTGGGTCGTTTGCATTTTTACAGGGCCACATTTTCATAAAATTTGAATGCCACAGATTTAAACAATTGCAAAAACTCATTTTTATTAAAATTAGTTGGTCTTTTCATTTTCTTGCCCCCTCCAAAAAAAATCTTTTGACAAATACCACAAATTCAGAAAATGGTCATGTTCAAGCTTTCTTAAAGTATCTTAAAATAATATCTATCCTTTTCCCTTTTATCCTAATACTTAATCCCACCAAATGCTTCCATGATGACATTTGATTATTTAATTCTTGTATTATTGCTAGTTTCTGTGCTCAGTATTTTTGAACTATTACTAGCATTTCAATTGTAACCTACACCTAAAAAGTGACAAATTTTTTAAAGAAAATTTAAAATGACTGGTATGGGCCTCCTCAGACAGTATTACATGCTAAATCACTTTGTGGCTATATGTAACAGTTTCACTAATTTACCCATCATTTACTGCATTTAATGCTCCCTAAATTACATATGACATCAATTTTTAAAATTCAGAGAGTCCAAAAAACTTACTAATCTTATGCATAGTATAGTGTAAGGTACTAAATTTTTCACGGTTAGGTGGAGCTGGAAACTTCTGTCTTGCATATGCAGGTGGTCATATTAGCGAGTGTAGCAGAAAACAGTCAAGTAGCAATAATGCCGAGGTTCATTTATCATTTGTTGAATGCAAGGCTGTATCGAAGTGATACTGGAAGTAAGAGAATATTGAAGAGATACATTCATAAAGTGTACATTCCAAGATTCTTACATGTGATGAATGAAGACAACTTAGATCAAAGGAAGGAGTATCGTGTAATTTAGCACATGGTGGGCAGGGATGAGAAATTTACAGGGAAGTCTGATGCATGATGGTTGCAGAGAAGTTTGATGATGCGCATGAGACAGACAGATAAGGTGCAATTCAAACTTAATGGAACTGCTACAATTGTGTCTATTGGGCTCACAAAAATATTCACTCATTTAGATATGGCAGTGAATCTACTGGGGGTTGCTGCATGATGTAATCGATCAGTGTGAGGTTTGATTGGTCTCTTCTTTTTCAAGGGTAACAGGTGAGGCATATCTTGATATGCTTCAGATAAGGATTTTGCCTGTCATTCAAAACCTGTACAGTGATGAACCTTTTTATGTGCAACAAGGCAAAGCTCCATTTCAGTTACCATTGAGCTGTCAGGTTGAATCTCAATATAACTCTACCTTGATAGTGGGTGGGTTGAAGAGGTGCTGTTGAGTATCCACTCCATTCTCCTGATTTCACACCTTCAGACTTTTATCTCTGGGGGAGCATCAAGAATGACATGTATCAGCAAAAACCAGCAACAATGGAAAAATCATGGAGCTACATGAAAAAATCATGGAGTCATGGGCTGCCCTTACATCAGTACACTAACAGTTATAGTCTGGCGTGCAGTTCACCACCATGAGCATTGTATGGAAGCTAGTAGTACCATTTTATTCACCTACCATAACCTTCTATTAGTCGCACCGTCACGTCAAATCAAATTTGTTATGAAAATGGACTAACAAATAGTAAGTAATGTAATATATGAGTGCGTTGCAACCCTCCTGGTCAATAATAATTGGCCTCATGGAAATATTGGATGATAATTAGAGACGATCTCATGAATAATAATTGGCCTCATGGCAGTAGTATGTACATTTTTTTTAATCCTCTATATTAATCTTAGCTGTTATATTTTTCTTCTGTCATATATGTTGATTATAACTGAACACATACAGCCTGATTAGAAGTTCTGTTAATTAAATTATTTCACATAAATGAATTTAAATTCATCAACTGATTAACAAATAATGAAAATTATTTAAAAACACAGAGTCATTTACAACATTATTCTAATTTTAACAAACATCACATTATACTAAAACTTACCAATGTAGGCTTCCTTAGGATTCAGTTTCCTAGCAGTACATAAATAAGCATCAGGCTAAAAAGAAAAATATCCATCAAGAAACTTGGTTTAAAGTGGCAATTACTTAAATTATTTGTTCAATTTTCAAGACTTAATGTGAAACAGTTCTCATGTCATGATTCAAACTATTTATAGCAGAGATTTTTCTGATTGTTGGAAATATAAAATAAAAAATTTTAAAAATAGTGTGCACCATATATCACACGAAAATTTACATAAAACTTAAATTGTATAAATTTTCAAACATCAGATACAAACTTTTTGCATGAATTAATAAACATATTTATTCATTTACTTGCTTATTTTTTATTTATTTATTTTTAGCATAAGCATATATGCTAGTATTTTTATATAATTTTACATTTTAATTGCCTTAAATTAATTTTAAAAAATGATAATAAAATGTTAGCACCACTGGGCAATGCTGCTGGTGTTTTAAAAAAAAAAAAAAAAAAAAAAAAAAAAAAACTCGTTTCATTCAAGAAAAGATACTTAACATACTTATGATGTACTAGTCAGAGCTATTACTGTTATTGCTTCAAATAATTAAAATAGCGAACAAGTTTTCACAAATAAAAAGTATATTTTTATTGTGTAGTAACAAGAAAATAAACAGGACAGTTGCAAGGAATATAATCTAAAGGTTCTATAATCTATAATTCTATAATCTAAGGGTTATAGAATATACTGTCTTATGAAACAAAATGACATAATACGCCCTCTTATGAAATACTGAAAACCTCCAATATTTAAAAAGTATTTTTATTAATGGCACTGCTTATAATAATGGCATTAGTTCAATATTTAAGGTTTTTAATTGGACTCTTCGGTAAAAGTATATTTTAGGGTTCCCCTCGGCAAAACTTGGCAATTTTTGGCGGTAAATTGATACCAAGTTTGTGAAATTTTTTGACTTGTTATTTTAGGCCAAAAATCGCCGCTACACAAAGCCAAAATAACAAGACAAAGAATTGCACAAACTCAGTATCCATGTACACATCGAGCTATTTTCACTTAAAAAAACATCAGAAAATTGCAAAAACTAGGCTTTGCGCACTCCCTTGACTTTGTCCATGCACACATCAAACTATATTCACTTAAAAAGTCTAAGGAGCAGCCAACAAAAAAATACATAATCTGAATAAACTACCTTTTAAATCAAACAATGAAATAACATAAAAAGGGAAATTCATCTTAGCACTACACGAAGGAAATATCCACTTACTGTATTTACGAGTCTTCAGTCAAACAAAATTCCTTAACAGCATCCAAACTATCTGAACTAAAATCTGTATACTGGTGTCGTCACACAAATTCACAAAATAAGAGTAAAAAATATCCTCCATTCGAAAATATCCAATGTTCGACCATACGCATTTTCTTCCTCCAAACCGGACATATAATAATGGCTACTAAGTAAACATTGATTTACCCACCAGTCAATTAAAGTTTTTTCTCCTTTCCTTGCAAATCCTACAGAAACTTCAAATTTATCTTACCACATTCAGCCAATTTACCGTGTAAATCACAAAATAACAATGTACTAATCCATCACACACAAGCCCTTACCCCAAATCCGACACACACTTTCCAAATTTTTTCCCATGATTCAAATTCGCCACAACCAATTACGTCATAATAGGGTTTCCATAGGCTTCAACTATTCAGGTTGTCATAAATGAGACAACAACTTGGCGATAAATGAAACAACAATTTCGCGATAATACAAGGGGTACCCTAAAGTCAACTCTAACCAACTCTTCATGATTGGATGGCATTTCAACCTTGGTGAAAAACAGATGGTTGCCAATACACACAAGCAATTAATTCACTGTTTATGTTAGTAACACGAACAAGAGCACATAGTTCACACACTACTAAATAGTCTGCTTCATCAGATGGTGAAAATGTTCTTTTTTTCATTGCTAATACTAAACATACTTTTATTTTCAATCCTCTATCTCATGAGAATCAGTAAAATCATAACATAACATACAGGAGTATGACAAGATATACAATACAAAGTCTATGATTGGATGCATCATAGTTTCGGGGATTCTGAATTCGGGATTCTTCTGGATATTAGGTCATCAGTTTTAAATCTAGTCAAATGACATGTAAAAATTATAACATTAAAATATGAAATACTGGTCTGTGGAATAATGAAGTATTTATGATCTTAAAAGAATCAAAAAGTAAAGTAAAAAAAAAAAACTCAGTATTTAATTATTTGTTAATCATTTCTTTTAATGTAAGTTGTTTTAAGTTGCTTCATTTCTAGTACTGACACTTTCTCTTTAATTCCATAAGTGGACTCAATTTCTTGCGAAGTTACAAATGTCTATTGTTACAGTCCTGCAATTGAAATGTCAAAATGCAACTTCACTAGCAGTGATGCTAAAGAAACTGAAGGTAAATTCTATGATAAATAATAGAGAACACCTATATAATCTTCATAGAGTTAATGATTGTATGTAATATTGACGAGAATACGTACTGAAATGAACTTTTCTGAACCATATGCTTGTATAATCCTCCTTTTTTTTTAATATTATATGTAATTTATTTTTTATTTTACTTTTCTTTTCATATTGTTATGAAATGTCTAGGTGCCGTAAGATGGCTCCCCCCAAAACAGGTTTAGGGTTGCCATAAATTGGAAGGTGGGGTTGCCACATTTGGCGAGTAATTGTCCATTTGGCGACAGAATTCGCGATATGCCATGGACAGATGGAGAACCTTCTGGAATGAATTATTACCGATTTAGCCCAGAGTGTTCTCGAATACAAGCCAAAAACTATATAAGCCCTGCTGGTATGTCGAGAGTGTGTGTGCTTCGTCTAGTGAGCTGATAGTCGTTGAGTGAGTGTCTCGAAGTCTAGCGTTGAGTTGGTCGTCGAGTGCATCACGAGTTAGTGCATTGTCGAGAGAGTGTGTTGAGCTCCGGGAATTGAAGAGTCGGGAGCTGTGCCCTGTGTGTCGTCAAGTACATCGCGAGTTGCAGTATGGAGAGTCTCGAGAGTATGTGGAGTTCCGAGAACGACCGAGCACAGTCGGGAGCTGTACTCGGTGCTTTGCAGTGAAGCTGGCTCCACCATTATAGCCTGATAACCTGAAGGCTGTGTCGCTGACTGTTCCAGTGAGTGTATTATAAATGTTCGACAACTGTAAAACGTGACTTTGGAACTGTTACGATTATTATTGGCTAAATAAAGTGCGTTTCGATATTTCATCAAGTTATTTACTCCAAATCCGCATAAACCCTGTACGAACGTGAAGGAAGAAAATAACGTAACAATTGGTGTCAGAAAATAACGTAACAACTGGTATCAGAAAAAAAAACCGCAACCATATGTTATACATGCTCTCTTTCACTTGTAAATAAACCTTCTCTCACAGGCATTGGCTCTTAAATTTTTTATCCCCCCCAAAATGGGCAATTTAATGACATCTGGAACAATCAGGGCCTAGCTCCTAAATTTAAATAATAATGTAGCCTAAGTGAACACATTCTGCTACAGTAATAGTTATAAAATATTATTTTTACTAGCACTTTTAATGAACACAAATGTTTAAAACATCAATTAAAAATGAATTTTTGAAATTTTTAAAAAATTTTTCTGAAAGTTTAAAAATGTGAAGCTGGACCCTTCTTGCTGCGAGCCCTTCAATTCCTGTTCCATATATAATACAGCAACCGAGTTTATTGTTCTTACACTGAACTTTAAATAGTTTTTTACCCAAGATAAAGTAAGATCTTTCTGCGAATGCATGGCAAACTGAAACAGTCAAATAAGTTTTTGAAATAATTTCTACATTAGAAAAAAAAAAAAAAAAAAATTGATGACATTCTCTTGTAGCAAGTGCATGATATACTTGATACATAGTAGCAGAAACAACTTGTTAAATTATGTTGTATTGTCAAATATTTCATAGTAATTCATTCTTTTTCTGTGTTAAAAAATTAATGATGGAATTGTGCAACAAAATGTTACAAAGATTTTAATAAATCAGTTCCTTTAAATAAGGAGCACTCAGCTGACTGTAAAAAATATTGTTGGAATTCATTCTTTATAAAATGATATTTCAAACTATTGTCATAAACATTTCATATCTGCACATCTTTTTAATAAAAATTTAACAGCTACTACAGTTACTTTCTTTTCCGAACTTGAACCACAGATATCAGACAAGGCTCCTTAATTTTTTTGTAACCAATTTTTAATACCGGAACGGCATCTACTCTTGCCAACTATCTAATATCGAATATTTATTTATTTTTGTAGTTAAATAATTTTCAAACTTTTTCAGACTTCTGATTAAATTTCTGATTTAGGATTTCTGCTAACAATGAGCGTATGCAGACAAAATAAGCAAATAACTTTTGAACAAACATAAAATATTGAGCAATGGCACTACATTCTTCTACCGTAAAATACTCGCTAATTTTAAAGAATGATTAGAGAAAAGAATATATATTGTACTTGAACTGTAGTATTTAATTCAAGTCTAAAATTGAGTATTTTTCTGCACTGTTATATATTTGCTCTTGATAAAGTTTAATGTCTATACCAAATTTGGTTAAAGCAGGTAATAAATACCTGTTATTCCAAATATAATGCTGTATATTTTTAAATCGATATAAATCCTGGAAACCTTTCTTTTGCATCGTCACTTGGTCATATGTACCTTATGCCAGTTGATGAATATGCAAAATATTAGCTATACTGTACAAGGCAGAAGTAAATTGCTCATTCAGTATCTGCTGCTTTTTATGCTATTACATATTTGTTAATGATGCCGATGAATTTCTCACAAATATCATGTGATAAATAAAATTTCCTATTCCTTGGTTCATCACATTCCATCACATTCTTCTAACTAGAGTTACAAACCATTTAGAAATAGTTTTTGTTAATGCTCGAGTTTTGACTTTTATAATGACCTTTAAGTATTAATCCCAATCTAATTAGTAATTTACAGTTGATATAATTCTTTCCCATATTTCTTTATAA